GAGAGAGAGAGAGAGAGAGAGAGAGAGGGAGAGAGAGAGAGAGAGAGGGAGAGAGAGAGAGTAAGTAAGTAAGGTCGGAAAGTGTTTTTTTAAAGAGCTATGATTAGAGTAAAGTACAATCAAATTCAAGTATCAGCAAATTTTCATTTATTGCTGTATTTGAGCTTTAATTTCAAGAAAGCCAAAAGTATCGTGAATAATTCTTCAGTAAGAATTGCGAACTCTAAACTCTTTTCCTTTTGAAATTGTCAGCCAGGGACGGAGAAGTAAAATGAATTAAATCAAATGTAATGAAATACAGCACTCAAGTACTTGCTCATATACTTTTGAACTCAAATTGTTAAAATTAAAGTTTCTTTTATTTTGGCCCGAATGACGTCACATCATACTTGCACGGAAAAAGAATAAAGTCCTAAATGTACTTGGGGGAAGGACTTAGATTCAGACCTAGGTAAGATGAGATACAGCTGGACAGAAGTGGAGACTATTGCCCAAGGCAGAAGTACAATCTCATGGAGAGCACTGGTTTTTGGCCTGAACTCCGGCCAAGAGTTAGACCCGTTAAAACGTTTACGTTTGGTGGATTAATCGCCTGGTTTACGTGCAATTGTGAGGCAGCGTAGCGGAATCAGGCTCTCGTCAAAACATTCAAATTGAAGAAACTTGCATTTTTCCGTAGGTTTATGAATTTTTATCAAACTTTTTTTTGGCTCGACACCTTTCATGCCTATTAAAAATCTGATCTCTGTGGAAACTTTTCTGAAAAACGTTGATAAAAGGCAAAAAAAAGGTAAATTTTCAGTGTCCACGGACTCTTAAGCTAAGGAAATAAATAATCTTTGGCGACCATTTTCTCACTAATTTTACCTCTGAAAACAGGTGACCTCCACCCCCTTCTTTCGCAAATATCTCGACTTGTATTCAAGATAAATGGATTTTTTTTTCAACAAAATAAAGACAATTGAACAAGCTTTAAATTTAAGATAATACCAAAAACTCTTCCTGCCCAAAAATTGACGAGAGCCTGATTCCACCACGCTGTCTCACAATTTCTCTCTGTGGTAGCTGCAGCAGACGGAAAGGGATGGGTGGGGCGAGGAAAAGGGAACTTATCAAGGAGTACAACAGCAAAGCAATTTAAATAAATAAATAAATAAATAAATAAATAAATAAATAAATAAATAAAT